GTTGCTGACTTGCATCTAGTAAATAACTAAGTGTCTACTCAGAAGAAAGCCACAGGTAAGGGTGTGTAAAGCTATAGCAGTGGTTTTCAACCAGTGTGCCGGGGCACCCTGGAGTACCTTCAGTGATGGTCAGGGGTGTCGCAGGCAACACTGGCCTCAGTCCCTCTTTCCTTCCCCTTTGATGTCCTATTGCATCTCTGCCTCCCAAAGGCTTGTTTGTTTCAGCAGCCCTGCCTACAAACTCCACAAGTGGGACCTCTGGGGCTGACCAGGGGGTGCTGGTTGCCAGGAGCAGAGGCGGCCTTGGAGTAAGCCAGCAAGTGGGTGAGGGAGCCCAGCCAGCCAGTCTACCTGCCCTTGCTGGTGGGAATGGACAGATAAGTGGGAGGCTGGGTGGGTGGGTGGCAGGAAGGCACCGCACTGGCCTTTCTTGTGCTTGCTGTGCTCCCTGCCTGGCAGCCGAGTGCCTGGTGCTGAAGGGAAGCCTTTCTGCCATGCATGCTCGGCAGCACCCAAGGTAAGGTGCTGGCCTCACGTTTGGCCAGTCTCTGTTGGGCTACTAAGGCTGGGGACATCCTCTTCCCAGGCCCCTGTGGAGCAGTGTGAGGAGGCACCGCTTTGGGGCAGCTCAGAGATCAAGGGCAGTGGCAGCTGCTGCCTGGAGGACTCCCCAGGAGAGGAAGAAAAGAGAGGAGGCTGAGGGAACACTCCACAAGGGGAGGGTCTTCAAAAAGGGGCAAGAAGCTGCCAGCTCTGCAGGCAAGGGGGGACATAACTGGGCTCCTGACACACACAGGGGTGCTGCAGAAAGAATGTAGTTGGCCAAGGGAGCTGTAGACGCAAAAAGGTTGAAAACCTGTGGACTATAGAGTTTTATCTAGGCAGCCAGGGCTCCTCTGAATAACAAGATCTTTTTGAAGACCATTTGGTTTTTAAAGTTCTCCCAAATATACAGAACTTCTGTGTGCCTTTTGGCCTGTATCTGTAGGTTTCTCCCTCTGGGTCAAATAAGTGTTGCTTACTTTTTATAATACATGGAAGATGGATCCCCCTTAGGAGGTTGTGGACTCTCCTTCCTTGAAAGCTTCTAAGCAGAGCTTGGATTGCTATCTGTCATGGATGCTTTAGCTGAGTTTCCTACATTGCAGGGGCTGCACTAGAAAGACGACCCTTGGGGTTCCTTCCAGCTCCATGATACAACAATATTTCATTATGTTCCTATCATTTTATGTAATTGTATTTTGTATAAAATAAAACATATTCTATTTACCAACAAACATTTAAATAGCTGCTTTTTTACTGGTGGGATGGGAGAGTATGGGCGTAGCCAGGATTATTGTATGGGGGCATGCTTTTGTTGGGGGGCAGAACCTCAGATTTGTATTGATTTTTATTTTTACTTATTGCCCCCTGCCCCATTGTCTATGCCGGGGGGGCGGTGCACAGGAAGGAAACAAGGTAGGAAGGGAGCCATGGTCGGGAAAAGGTTGGGAAATACAGGATTGGGTGTGAGGAGACTGAAACTTTGTCACATCTGTAAATTCTAGTGAAGTTTTCAAAACATAATAATTTATATTAAATCGTATTAATCACCATAAACTATTATTGCCTTTGGGACTACAAAGCTAAGCTTGGTCACCTTCACACCAATTTCCAGAGAGGCAGCTGTGTTAGTTTGAAGTCCTGCAGCAGTTTAAATAAGGTTTCATCCAATGCATCTTCCAATGTGGCCACTAGTCTGTAAAAGCTTATGCCATGATAAAATGTGCTACGGGACTTTTTGCTGCTTTTGCTTCATTCCTTCAATAAAAATGCATGTAACCCCAAAGACCTGTTCACTAGGGTGAGAGTGCATCCCGAGTTCGACTTATTTCCACGAAACACAGCTCTGAGTGCGCATAGGGAGGAGAGGAGTCACAAGCGACGCGCAGTAAATAAACTGAAAGGCAGCAGCAGGCAGGAGTACCAGAAAACTACCGCTGTAATCAGGGTAATAGGACGAAAAGGGTAAAGGGAAACAAAATCCGGCTACGCGAGGAACTTGGGACTAGCCCCGGCCCGCCGGTCTTTGGTTTGGGGGCTTCTCTCCCCGCCCGCCCCCTAAAAACATAACAAGCGAGGGGGGAAAAGCAGAGCAAAGGAGGCGAGTTTCCGATGCCTCCGAAATGCACAAATGTCTCCCGCAGCGCTCACCATTCGAGGAGGAGGAGGAGGAGGAGGAGGAGGAAGGCAAGGCGGCGGCGGCGGCAATCCCTTCTTTCGGCGTCACTTGGCAACGGGCGAAGCAGAGACTCCCCAGCCAGGAAGCCAAATGGATCCGCCCGCGGCTGCCTCGGATTCAGTTGCGCGCGCGCAGAGACAGGAAACGCGGCAAGTCCCCTCAGGCGCAGTCTTTTTCAGTTGGCACCACGGGCGGAGCCGGGGGGGGGGAATCCGCCCCCCAATCAAGAAAATAAATGAAAACACTTAACTAACTGACCAACTGGGTCGCAGATAACTCGGTGTGTCCCCCCCCCCCCTATAAATCCTGGCTACACCCATGGTTGGCACTGCGGTCTAAGTTGATCCTGATTTGTATCATTCTAATTCGTAGACTTTGAATGTACAGGGCATCTGCATTTAACAGCTTGTTTTCCTCTCCAAAGAGAGAAATGGGAAAAATCAGGTTAGGAGCATAGTTATAAGTTTGGACACCAGCACGTCCTCCCGCCCCCAGGCCCCCAAAAGGAGAAAGAGACAGGAATTTCATGCTAAGTTTTATTTCGTGAGAAACAACATTTTCAAAAGTGCAACTTGCCTGCCTGCAAACCACTCCAATGTTATTTCACATTAAAGGAAATGAGTAAGATCTCCTTAGAAGTATCTTAAACTTATTTGAGAAAGGGCTGTAATGTCAGTGACTTACATATCATACATTTAAATCACATGGCTTCCTCCAAAGAATCCTGGGAACTATTCGTTTTATCTCCCAAAGCTACAATTCTCAGCACCCTCAACAAACTTCAATTCTGAGGATTATTTTGGGGAAATCATGTGCTTTAAATGTAGGTGAGTATGCAGGCTCAGCCGTACAGCATCTGCATTGCTTGCAGAAGGTCCTAAATTCAGTTCCTGCCATCTCTAGCCAGTGTTGGGAAAGACACCTGTCTGAAACACTGGATAGTTGCTGTCAGCCAGCGTAGACAAGAACAATACTGAGCAAAATGAACCAAGAGACCACATACCACCGGTCTTGAAAGACCTGCACTGGCTCCCAGTACGTTTCCGAGCACAATTCAAAGTGTTGGTGTTGACCTTTAAAGCCCTAAATGGCCTCAGACCAGTATACCTGAAGGAGCATCTCCACCCCCATCGTTCTGCCCGGGTGCTGAGGTCCAGCACCGAAGGCCTTCTGGCGGTTCCCTCTTTGCGAGAAGCAAAGCTACAGGGAACCAGGCAGAGGGCCTTCTCGGTAGTGGCACCCACCCTGTGGAATGCCCTCCCATCAGATGTCAAAGAGATAAACAACTACCTGACATCCAGAAGACATCTGAAGGCAGCCCTGTTAAGGGAAGTTTTTAATGCATGACATTTTAGTGTATTTTTGGTCTCTGTGGAAGCCACCCAGAGTAGCTGGGGAAACCCAGCCAGATGGGCGGGGTACAAATAATAAATTATTATTATTATTAAAGGTCTGACAAAATCCCCAGCAAAGGCTCCTGAGCAAACTTAGATGTCTGCTATCAGTGGGTGGATCATCTTAAGAGTTGGTAACTGATTAAAGTACAGGAAGCATGGAATAGAAATAAATGGACAGTTCTCGCAGTGAATGAATGGAAGTTGTCTCCCCTCACCCCTGTGCGCACAGGATCTGTTTTGGGTCTTCATGGATGATCTGAAATTAAGGGTGAGTAGTTAGGTGGCCAAGTGTCAGCATAATTAATTATTAAGGGTAGCAAAAACAAAAAAGGAATTGGGAAGAACTCCAAACTGGGCTATTAATGTGGCAGAATGTAAGATTGAAAGAGTTCCTGGAAATTTCAGTCTCCTTCAAGAGTCACAGGAGCTGCACAGCAGAAGCTTTTATGAGAAGGTCAAGCTGTCTGTTTCCAATGCTTTTTCACTCCAAAATCATAGTCCTAGCCAGCCATGGGAATGCTAGAACATTAGCAGTGGCAAAGTTTTTATCGGTGGTTGCAAGAACAAATGATCCCTATATTCTAAACAAAATGCTTGTTTAACCTGGAGGTAGGCTGTATGAATTGTGTATTGTTTTGTAATGATTTGTTGGGTCTCTGGACCGTAATAAAGATTGATGATGATATGTAATAATATTTATTAAGTTTTCCAATTTAACAATCCAATAAAAGCCACATTAAAAACATTCCAAATTATAAAATAATCAAACAGACCATGTATTATTCCAAATTATAAATCTTTGTTTGACTTCCCATGCTCTGAGGTCGGGGGATAGCAATCATCTCACATTTGTGCTGTGTCTCTAAGTTAGTCCAGGTGATTCCCATAAATCAATCCGATATTAATCCTTTGTTCATTTTTCTCAGCCTCTGAGTTCGTCTTGCAAGCGAGTTAAATCAAACAATATGTTTCTGTGTGGGTGTTTATTTTCTTCCATGTCTTTCACTTTCACTTCTTCGTGCCTGTAATTATCAACTGCGACACATCCCAAAATGGAGGAAATCTGACTTTCTGCCAATTGTACCAGGAGTATTTCCAAACCTCTTCGTTTTATCTCTGTCCAGATCAGTTAAGCCCATACTTTGGCTAGAAGCCTCAATTCCCATCTTCCATTCTTAACGATCAATTAGAATTACCGTAATTGCAGCTTCCTAAATCTTTTCCACAAAGTTAATAATAAGGTCAAAATGAGTCTTAAATATTAGAATATTCTCCAATCCCGCTTGCATGCATAATCAATTGGTAGTCAGTCCCTTCCGGGGAGATTTGCCAAGTAAAATAGCAAATATGAAGTAAATCAAAAAGAAGCAAAAAAGACTCACCCCCCTTTTGTTCCAACATACCAGTTCCATTGTGATGATAACCCCTCTTCCACTCAAATCCTTTAGCTCCTCAGTGGCTGAATCAATTAGCAGAGTAGTTTATCTCCCCTCACTCAGAGCATGCCCATTAATTAAGTCCGAATTTTAATCTTAAAAAACAGGAGTTCACTCATGGCGGCAACTTTGGAGAGTTGCGAGAGACGCACGATGCTTTCCACCCAGCGTCCCCAGCCCCCTCGTGCCTTCTGGATTGGGGGCAGGTGTTGGGCGATCTGTGGGTGAAGCGCCCTCCCCTCCGGTCCTGGCAGGGTTGGGAGGATGCTTACTCCCATCTCATCCTCAAAATACTCCGTGCGAAACGGCTCTGATGAAATGAGCAGCCTCTGCCATGGCAAGCCAAACTGGAACAAAGTATCTTTATAATAGAATCATAGAATTGTAGAGTTGGAAGGGACCCCGAGGGCCATCTAGTCCAACTACCTGTAATGCAGGAATCTCAGCTAGATCGTACATGACAGATTGCAACCCAACCTCTGCTTAAAAACCTCCAAGGAAGGAGAGTCTGCCACCTCACCAAAGACAGATTTTTTGTGCTGTTAATAATTGATTGTTTTTGCAGCCCCCACTGTTAATATACATTAACTGTTACTGTCTGTCCTTTTTGGCATTTAATTTGCTATGGACGTCCCTGTTTATAATTTCCTCTCTCCCCACCTGGAATTCAGAGTAACACTTCATTAATAATAATAATAATAATAATAATAATAATAATAATTAATAATAATAATAATAAATTTTTATTTATACTCGGCCCTCCCCAGCCAAGACCGGGCTCATATATCTGATGGGAATGTACTGTCGTCCATAAAAGTTCATCCTGGTTTTTGAGTTTCTCCCTCTTCGTTTATTTCAGTTTTCCGTCTGAAAATTGTTTGAAAGCTGTTACTTAAAATCCGCGCTGCCAGCTAAAATCCACGAACTTCAAGCAAAACTCCCGGACGCCTCAAACCCCGAGCCTTGAGAGCCCTTCAGGCCCTTCTGCGCATGAGCCACAACTGCCCTCTTAAGAGAAGCGCGTGACTTCTACGTCAAGGCGAAAGCCGATTCCTCCCTCCTCCCGCTCTCCGCTCACCTCTTCCCTCAGCGGACGTACGACTGAGGGCAGAAGCCGGCTCCGGTGCGTCCTGGGCCTTGTAGTTCTCCTGGGCCGCAACCTTGATTCCGCGCCACATACCGTCCCGGAGCTACGGACTACAACTTCCAGGTGGCAAAGCGAGAGGCGGCGGCGAGAGTGGGGCGTGGCTTTCTCGGGGCTCCGCCTTCTCTTCTGTACCCGCCGGCTGCTGCTGCTCGGGAGAAGGTGACCTGCCAGGAGAGAGAGCGCGCGCGTTTCTTCCGCCGCCGCCGCCGCCGCCGCCATGGTCAGTGCAGCTGAGTTCGGGGTCAGATTATGCAGCGAGGCGTCCCGCAGCCTTTTAAAACGAATCGTATTATTTCCTCAGTTGGGTGGGAGGCAGAAGGTTCTGACGAGATCCTGGACCGGCGGCGAAGGGGGCGCCTTAACCCGCAGTAAAATGGAAGGGCAGCGAAGGCAGCGGCCGCGCTTGTCCTTCTGCACAGCTGCGAAGCGCGAGGGGCAGCGGCGACCTGGTCGAAAGCAGCGCAAGGTCCCTTGCCAGGATGAGGGCAGGGGAGGACCCTTCGCCTGAAGGGAAGGAGCTGCGGAGGGCTCTGTTCTGGAATGGCAGGGTCGCGGGGCAGAGACCCAGGACGGGGGGGGGTCCCTCTATTTCAAAAGGCTAACCAGGGACTGGGGTTGACTAATCGGGCTGGGGCATATGGGTTTAATGGGGGAAAACCAAACCCACGCCCCCCTTCTTCGAGCAGTGCTGACGTAATTTGCCACCATAATTTGAGCACCGGCTCAGGTAACTGCTTGGGGGTTGAACGTGGTGAAGGATGAGACATCGGGGTCCCCTCGGCTGAGTTACATGCTCAATAGATTAGTGTGTTGCACATGAGACTCTTAAATTTCTTGGTCGTGGGTTCAAGCCCCACTGTATTCATTTAATTCCTATACCACTTTATATAGTGGTTCCTTCCAGCTCTACAATCCTATGGTTCTATGAATACATGTGGCAAGGACAAAGGAGAGTTGGAGGGATGGATCTTCAACCATGCATGAAAGTCCTGGTAAATCAGAGCAAGCCCATAGCTGCCGTTCTCCTATATTACAACTGCAGTGCATGCAATGAAAACATTTTCTGGGCTTCAGTACAGCGGTACCTTGGGTTACATACGCTTCAGGTTACATACGTTTCAGGTTACAGACTCCACTAACCCAGAAATAGTACCTCAGGTTAAGAATTTTGCTTCAGGATGAGAAGTGTGACTGGCCCAAGGTCACCCAGCAGCTGCATGTGGAGGAGCGGAGACGCAAACCCAGATTACGTGACTACCGCTCTTAACCACTATACCACACTGGCACCACAAAAGCTTATGATAGGGGGGGAAATGGAACTGGGTAGAGCTTCTTCTCACATACTTCTCTTCAGGATGAGAACACAAATCGTGCTCCAGTGGTGTGGTGGCAGCAGGAGGCTCTATTAGCAAAAGTGGTACCTCAGGTTAAGAACGGACCTCTGGAACAAATTATGGTAAGTTCTTAACCCGAGGTACCACTGTACTTGGGTTTTGTGATGCACGCTGCCTTGGCTCTCTGTTTTTACAGAGTATGTGAGAAGAAGCTCTACCCAGTTCCATTTCCCCCCCTATTATGATAGGAGCACCACTGGAGCTTTTGTGGTGCCAGTGTGGTATAGTGGTTAAGAGTGGTAGACCCATAATCTGGTGAACCGGGTTTGCGTCTCCGCTCCTCCACCTGCAGCTGCTGGGTGACCTTGGGCCAGTCACGCTTCTCTGAAGTCTCTCAGCCCCACTCACCTCACAGAGTGTTTCTTGTGGGGGAGGAAGGGAAAGGAGAATGTGAGCCGCTTTGAGACTCCTTAGGGTAGTGATAAAGCGGGATATCAAATCCAAACTCCTCTTCTTGTAAATTGGAAAAGTTTCTGCTTGGCTTGGAAGGTAACCTACAAGGGGTGATGGGGCAGGAAGGGAAAACATTTTTCTCAAATTTTATGTCACTGTTGTTCATTAGTAACCAGGGTATATGGCACTTGAGGGGACAGCTGCAGAGAGCACTGCCAGCCTTGCTCAATAACAAAGCCCCATTTATCGTCTTCCATTTCAGCAGTGTGTGACTTACTGGTATTGCTGGAATGTCTCCCTGTATGACTTTCAAGGTGCTCTTCAAGTAGGCAAACTTCCAAATTCTTGTTGGGGCCATAGCCATAGTCTGATGCTTTCCGATGAAAGGAGTGACTTAAGGTGCAACTTTATATTCACTGTGTTATGATGGTGCAAATCAATTGCAAAATTTTATCTGGTTTATGGTATGTGACCATATAAGCTGTTCATCCACTGAGAGGAGGCAATGGGTGTCCCATAAGACACACCCTTTTCCTTATGGTCTGCAGCTCATAACACTTTATTAGGTAACAAGTAAGAGTGTTATCTGTAAATATTTAAATGCTTTTGGCGCTAGGGACGCGGGTGGCGCTGTGGGTTAAACCACAGAGCCTAGGACTTGCCGATCAGAAGGTCGGCGGTTCGAATCCCTGCGACGGGGTGAGCTCCCGTTGCTCAGTCCCTGCTCCTGCCCACCTAGCAGTTCGAAAGCACACCAAAGTGCAAGTAGATAAATAGGTACCGCTCCGGCGGGAAGGTGAATGGCGTTTCTGTGTGCTGCTCTGGTTCGCCAGAAGCAGCTTAGTCATGCTGGCCACATGACCCTGAAGCTGTATGCAGGCTCTCTCGGCCAATAAAGCGAGATGAGAGCCGCAACCCCAGAGTTGGCCACGACTGGACCTAATGGTCAGGGGCCCTTTACCTTTTAAGAAGCTTTTAAAAATATTTTGTCTTAGGGGGTAAAGGTATAAAAGCTCACAGATCAGGCTGTTAAATTAGTGCAGTCTGTGATGCAAGCAATTAGGCACCAAAATTGTATAAAGAGACGGTGCTGTATAGCTATGCCACAGAAGCATCTGGAATAAAGAAACTGTCAGCGTTGACTTGTAGCACAACCCTGGAGGGAAAATATTGATTTGCTTTAACTACTAGAGACTAAATGAATGGCATCATTAATAAAACGCCCATGAAAGCAGGAATGTTGATTGCAGCAATCTCCCCCATAATCCCCAACACACCATTTAATCCTGATGATGTCAGAGCACAGGACATATTCTGCAGTAAAACCAGAGATGGTATAAAGAATTAACTCTTAGTAACAAATTATACAAGTTACCTTTTTAAAAAAAAAAATTAAATCTTTACAGATAACACTGTGAGCTTTTATAGTAATACAGCAAGCAGCGCTGTTGAAATATGGAAGAACTGTAGGTGGATCAACATTCTTGTGCATCTACTAGGTTTGTGGAAGCCCGCATGAGCATTCCAGTTGTTTTGGACTTCCAGCAGCCCTGACCTACATACCCACTGGTTGGAGATGAAAGGAGTCCACAGTTCACTCCCAGTCTAAACTGAAGGGCTCTGGAAACTTGTGTGGTGCCAAGTCACCTCCCTCACACTCCCAGCTGCAGGCTCTGACACTCAGTGAAGAATCCAATATTATATGCAGAATTATGAGAATTATTAATTGCAAGCAATTTTAAGTTGAGCTTATAGTCATGACTTCACGTGGGGAAGGGTGCTGAAAGTATGTTGGTAGTTGTTGTTTTTGTGAAAACAGCAGGGAGGAGTTACATGGAACTTGTGACTGTTGAGAGTTGGGAATACTTCATATAACACAGCCCAAAGGCCTGGTTGAAGAGGAACATTTTTGCCTGGTATCTAAAGGTGTATAATGAAGGCACCAGGTGAGCCTTCCTGGGGAGAGCATTCCACAAACAGGGAGCCACTGCAGAAAAGGCCCATTCCTGTCTTGCCACCCTTTTGTGGAGGAGCCACATAGAAGGGCATCAGATAATGATTGCAGAGTCCACGTCAGATCATATGGGGAGAGGCAGCCCTTGAGGTATTGCGGTAATTATGCCTCTCCAAAGATATAAGGAAGCCAGAATTCTAGTAACAATATTAATACTAATACAGTGGTAAGGTAAAGGTAAAGGTACCCCTGCCCGTACGGGCCAGTCTTGCCAGACTCTAGGGTTGTGCGCTCATCTCAATAGGCCGGGAGCCAGTGCTGTCCACAGACACTTCCGGGTCACGTGGCCAGCGTGACAAGCTGCATCTGGCAAGCCAGCGCAGCACACGGAACGCCATTTACCTTCCCGCTGATAAGCGGTCCCTATTTAACTACTTGCACCAGGGGGTGCTTTCGAACTGCTAGATTGGCAGGCGCTGGGACCGAACGACGGGAGCGCGCCCCGCCGTGGGGATTCGAACCGGCGACCATGCGATCGGCAAGTCCTAGGCGCTGAGGTTTTACCCACAGCGCCACCCGCGTCCCTTAATACAGTGGTACCTCAGGTTAAGAACTTAATTCGTTCTGGAGGTCCGTTCTTAACCTGAAACTGTTCTTAACCTGAAGCACCACTTAAGCCAATGGGGCCACCGCTGCGTGATTTCCATTCTCATCCTGAAGCAAAGTTCTTAACCCGAGGTACTATTTCTGGGTTAGTGTAGTCTGTAACCTGAACCGTTTGTAACCTGAAGCATCTGTAACCCGAGGTACCACTGTACTAATAAGTCTATTTAACTTTCTCCTTCCCTTTACAGGTATGATGCATTGTCTTTCATGATTGCTTTCACTAGTATAGGTTCTTTACTCATAATTAATCATAACATTTAAATGGATTTGTATTTCTCTAGTTTAAACCAGTTCTTTTTGTTGATAACCATGATTATTTTATCCAGTTACTGTAAACTGGCCGACACCAGTAACTTAGGAAGAGGATCTTGGGGATTGTAATTAATACAGACTTCAAACAGCTGGCATCCAACATTACATAAGTTGCAAATCCTACTAAACCTGAAAAACATTGTCTTGCTAAGTTAAAGTAATGCATCAGATATAAAATAGCAGACTTTTTTCCCCTTGTTGAAACTTGCATTTTGTTTTTCTTGAGGCCACATCATTTCTTTTGTTCAAACTTTTTAATCTAAGAGCTGTTGCTTGAGTGAGCTGAAATTTTTCTGCTTTGAAACAGCAGCCTGCATCATTTTGCTAGCAATGAATAGACTCAAATACCTTCCTTAAATGAGCACAACACGAGTTTGGTGTGAGAGCAGATCTGGCCAGTGCCTGAATGGAATCCACATATGGCCACATTGGGTTCCATGATGAAAGAAAGGCAGGGTACAAGCAATAAGGAGAACCGCTCAAGCATAAGGAGAACTGCTCAAGCATAAGGAGAACCGCTCCCCATAAGATCTATTAAATATGTGCATGCATGTTCTCTATAGCAGTGTGTCAGTTTCCTATGTCATTGCCTAAAGTCAGATGTTTAATTGTAGATACCAAAAGTTGCAAGGCACTTTATATTCTCATATACATCTGACAGTATAAGGTTATCTAGTATATTTTTCACCCTTGTCTTGTTATATGGTGGTCTTAAATAAAAATTGTCTTTCAGCTTTTCATTTTCTACATGTAACTGCCATGTTTCCAAAAGACTGTAGTTTTTGAGAAATCTCTTTAAAATAGATCATGTTTAGGCTGGTACAGAATATTGATGTTTCTGTATTCTGCATGGGAGATTTGTCCTTTTAACTTTTCTGTTCTGTTTATAAGTTTAAAACGTGTTTTGGCTATTCCAAGACGGAATAATTATAATGAATTCCTGGCAGTCTGGTTAGTTCACAGTAGGAAGGTTAGCTGAATCATAGACCTCCTAACAACCTTCCTGACAAATTATTTGCCAAACGCTAACTTTTATGAAAGTTCATTCTACAGTAACGAGAGAAAACGTGTTTATGGAAATCTACAAATATTCTTTCTCTTTCAGTCCAAACCAATCAAAGTCCTCGTGACTGGTGCTGCTGGACAGATTGCCTACTCTCTGCTCTACGGCATTGCTAAGGGTGATGTCTTCGGAGCAGATCAGGTAATGGATAAAATGAATGCTAGCATACCATAAGCAGTCCATATGAGCACAAAGGTCAACTCTGCAGTTGTTAACAGACATCCAGTGCAAGAAAAGGGCCTCATTGACTTTTTTGTCAATTGTTATTAAAATGACTATCTTGTGGAGGGAAAGTGAGATTCCATTATGCAGAAATGAGTTTTTTAATATATATTCATTGTATAGAATGGTAAGAAAGATTCTGACAAATTATAAATTATTCTTAAATATATTTTGTACTGCATTAATATGGTGGTACAAACGACAAGGAATCTAATTTAATTTGATCTTACATGTAATCTGATCAATATTAAATAAACTAAGTAACTGACACAACTGTTGTTCCTTTACAGCCTCTTATTCTTGTGCTATTGGATATCACTCCCATGATGACTGTATTGGATGGCGTACTTATGGAATTGCAAGACTGTGCTCTTCCTCTGTTAAGAGGTGACAAGAAAATCCAGTTTGTGCTCTGTCTGCAGATGCTTAGGTTTGAAATATATAGGCAAATGAGAGACACATTACTGCCAGATTTAACAGCATTGTTCAGTGTAGTGGCCATATATGTCAGGGCAAAAGAGGACCATTTTGCCATTCTGTAAATTGAAGAGATGTTGGCTTGCATGAGGAATTAAATGTAAGATTTATAAGCCCAACACATTAAGCAAACTATGGGAGGTATAGTCTGTGGTGGAAGAAAATAATTTTCAAAGCATTGGGGAAGCTTGCCCAGTAGTATACTTGCACATTTTGCTCTACTGACCACTAGTGCCAATTAAAAGAAAGTCAAATTTAATAGAAACCTACCTCACACTGATTCAGTGATTGTACATTCGTGTGATGTAGTTAATTTCAGTGCTGAAAGCTTTTGCCTTTGGTTATGCTTACCTAATAAAGTGGCCACTGAATCATTATTTCAATAAGCTTGAAAAAACGGGAGAAAAAGGAGGCTTGTGTTTTCTTTTGGCTTGCATCTAAACCAGTGCTTTCAAACTGCTGTTTGGACTGCTGTTGGACTACAACTCCCATCATACCTAGCTAGCATGACCAGTGGTTATGAATGATGGGTTGTAGTCCAGCAACAGCTGGAGAGCCACGTTTGAGAAACACTAATCTAAACAAAGTTTAGACCAGTTTGGATCATGGAAGTCACAAAGCAGATTCACTTCACAATTTATTAATAGGTTGAGGCATTAGAGAAAGAGAGAATTGACACTTGAACAGAAGCAGTGGCAGACTTTTTGATAGCTTTGGGATTTTGGCCACAGCCTTGTTATGAGTAGTTCTGAAGGCACTGGTTTCCCCTCATAGTTTTACCATAAACTCATCTTTCAGCCCTCTTCCTCTCTACTTACAGAGGTAATTGCAACTGACAAAGAAGATGTTGCATTTAAAGACCTTGATATAGCCATCCTAGTTGGCTCCATGCCAAGGAAAGAGGGCATGGAACGCAAAGATCTGCTCAAGGCAAATGTGAAAATTTTTAAGTCGCAAGGAGCTGCATTGGACAAGTATGCAAAGAAGACTGTTAAGGTGAATACAGCTGGTGTGATGTGGTTGCTAAGAGAATGAGCTGTGCCTCAAGAGATTGCTGATTTACATATCATCTCATCATTGTCTCTCTCTTACTTCTGTCCATAATATAAGGATACCAGGTCTGGTCTACTCTTTAAGCTGTTAAAAGGATTGCTATCATAACATGTGAAGTACTTGGAACACAGAAATGAAGTTGGCACTTCTTTAATTAAAGTCGAGCATCCAAGTTTTAAGCTACCTGAGTCTTTAAAGGGGGGGGGAGAGACAATTTTGTACCATTTGTCTTGTTAACCAGTTTACAAAATGTTTCTAGTTTAGTAATTTGCCATTTATCGGATTTCAATTTCCACATGATCAGTGAAATGTTGGTTTACACAATTTATATACTGCTTTAGCATTAAAAAAATAATCTCTAAACTATAAATCACATCTGAAATCTCAGCAATTGTGGTTTAGCTGGTTGGTCACTTGACAGACTTGCAGTAAATAGTCCACTTTCTTCCTTGCCCCCCAATCAGGTTATTGTGGTAGGCAATCCAGCAAATACCAACTGCCTGATTGCCTCAAAGTCTGCTCCATCTATACCAAAGGAGAATTTCAGTTGTTTAACCCGTCTGGATCACAACAGAGCTAAATCCCAGGTAGGAAGTCTCTTCTAAGTTACAGAAAACACTTTTTTATTCTTTATGTAAGCCAGTTTTTTGAAATAATTTGTTTAAAAGGGGTAGGGAATCTAAATGCTTCAAATTACCATCTGATCTTGGCATTTTCTGCTTCCTACGCTCAATAAAACTAGATTGCTATCAAAGTTGGAGTGACTGCCAAGGATGTAAAGAACTGTATCATCTGGGGGAATCACTCCTCTACTCAATATCCAGATGTTAATCATGCCAAGGTGAAAGTGCAAGGAAAAGATATTGGAGTTTATGAAGCTGTGAAGAATGATAACTGGCTCAAGGGTGACTTCATTACTGTAAGTTAATAATGTGGGTGATTTCGTTTTTTCTTGTCTTGTCTATTGCAGCAACGTAACATGAGTAGCAGATGTTCCAGAGTCAGGATTTCAGAATATCAGCTTCTACATTAGCGGTTTTATACAGTGGCCATGCTCTGCCATTTGCATGTAGATAAACTCTATGCATGTATAGTCATGGGAAAAAGAAAGTACACTCACCTTGAATTCTGTGGTTTTACATATGAGGACATAATAACAACCATCTGTTCCTTAGCAGGTCTTAAAATTAGGTAAATAGAACCCCAGATGAGCAACAAAACATGTCATATTACAGAGTGTCTGAATTCGGAATTCAAAGAGGGTTTTCTTTTTCCCAGGACTGTATGCCCTACACCAGTGGGACCATTGCATAGAGACACAATTCCCCCATACACTTTATTTCAGTGCTATTGTAGCTAAGGAAGCAATCTCCCAGAAGAATTTGAACATGGAAAAGAAGTAGTCAATATAGAGAGACTTACGGCATTTTACAGAAAAAGATGTAAAATGAAAAAGTTTGAGGATATTAGAAATCAGGTAATGAGTTGGTTGCATTACTACCAACTGAATGAAATGTTCAAATGTCATAAAAAGTGTGGCTTCGATGACCAAAGTTCTCAGTCTGAAAGGGAACCAATAGAAAATAGAGAAAAACTGATTTCGAGAATGTATAAGATATTGTTAGCATAGGAAACCCAAGACGAAATTGTTAAATTTGCTATTGGGCTAGGGGTGTGGGGCATCATAGAATTAGAACCATGGGAAATCTGGGTTGAAATTCACAGCAGGGAATTCACCTTGAGGGAGAATTTTATGAAAATGATATGTAGATGGTACCTAACACCAAGTAAATAAGCCAAAATTTATAAATCAACATCTAATCTTTGTTGGGAATGTGGTGGCCGTGCAAAGTAGCTAAGGACTTTTGGGAAATGATTTATAATGAGTTGAAAAGGATATTCAAGGTAATCCCCCCCCAAAAAAACAAACAAACCCAGAAGCTTTTTTTTACTAGGGATAGCTGGAGCAAATATCCAAAAAACTCGTATAAATCTATTTCTTTATGCAACCACGGTAGCACAAATATTGTACGCACAAAAATGGTGCGATGAGGTGATACCTACCAAAGAAGAATGGCAGCTGAAATAGATAGAATATGTAGTATTGGTAAGTAAGATTTGAGGATTTGAGTGAGAACAGCAGTGGGGGGTGAACTTTTTGTTTTTACTGTGAGATAAGGTGAAGGTATAGAGTAACTATAATATGCAGCACAAATTGAAATTTTGAGGGAACCAGGGAGGGAGGGAGGGAATTTTGTAGGTGGAATGATTGATTGCTAAATTTGAAATGTCGAATTGTTTAAAATTTGTTTATCTTACTTTTTCAAAAGAAAAAATAAGAGGCGCTGCCTGGCTTCTCAAGCAAAGGCAGGCAGGCACTTTTGAGGGAGCCCTCTGCCTCCAGCTCACGTGAGCCAGAGGGCGGGGACTGCCCACCCCTCAGCTGTTCAAGCCCCCATACTGCTCTTGCAGCAGCCGGAGTGATGTGGGGCTGAGCAATGTATCTTGGCTGCGTCTTCCTCCCCTAAGGTGGGGAGGAAGAAGCAGCCGAGATACATTTCAGGCATTGTGATATATCAGCGTATACTGGTATTTATAATGTTGAAAACCAAATCTTACCCAGCCCTAATCTATTCTGGATCTTTCACATAAGTTGTTACTTTATGCGGTAGAAGAAAAAACTCCCCCCATACATTATTCCAGAACTGTTATGTGGCAGGATGCAAACAGAAAACCCCAGCAACAATATCAAGATAAAAGGTTAATGTCCATGGATCTGATTAAATTCCTAAATCTGATTAAATTCAGCCTGAGTTTTGTAAAGCTCTATTGCAGGCATAGGCAAACTTGGCCCTCCAGATGTTTTAGGACTACAGCTCCCATGATCCCAGCTAACAAGACCAGTGGTCAGGGATGATGGGAATTGTAGTCCCAAAAACATCTGGAGGACTGAGTTTGCCTATGCCTGTTCTGTAGACTTCATGTGAAGTTGGTATATTCCCTGTTCTTTTGTGTTTCAGATTGTAATCTTTGAAGGCAAGGAATGTCTTGTGTTTTATTTATTTGAAAGCTACTCTGGGAGTTTTTGGGGTGAGGAACTGGGTAAAAATGCTTAAAATGTTTTTCATTGTCCTTATGTAGACAATATTGGTAGCCTCTCTGTCTTGGACTCATTATAATAAAGAGTAATTATGCTAGTAGGTGCAAATAGTCCAGTAATTTTCCTCTGTCAATACTACAGACTGTTCAGCAGCGAGGTGCAGCTGTTATTAAAGCCAGGAAGCTATCAAGTGCAATGTCGGCAGCCAAAGCTATCTGTGATCATGTGAGAGACCTTTGGTTTGGCACTCCAGAGGTAAGTGTTGCAACAGCCCATGAAGAAGTTAGCTTTGATAATAGCTGTTCAAAGTTAGTATATACCATATTTTTCGCTCTATAGGACACACCGGACCATAGGAGGGGAGAACGGGGGAGGAGGGAATTCTCCCCCTGTCTGCTCAGCGCCCCTTCAGCAAAGCGGCAGGAGAAACAGAGCCCCTTCCATTTCTCCTCCTGCTTCACCGGAGGGGGCGCTGCGCAGAGAGGGAAAACTGTGCAGCGCCTCTCCAGCGAAGCGAAGCCTGGAGAGCAAGAGGGATCGGTGTGCACCGACCCCTCTCGCTCTCCAGGCTTCAGACGGCTATCCACCTGAAGCCCCCGGAGCGCAGCGGGAGTTCCCTGCACTCCAGGGGCTTCAGGAGGCTTCAGCGAAAGCAACGCGAAGCCTCCAGAGCGCGGGGGGAGCTCTCCCTCTGGGCTTTGGAGGCTTCGCGTTGCTATCGCTGAAACCAAGGAGCCTGCATTCGCTCCATAGGACGCACACACATTTCCCCTTCATTTTTGGAGGGAGGAAAGTGTGTCCTATGGAGCGAAAAATACGGTACTTCCTTTATATTAGGCATACAGCTGATCACCTGATAATCTTATATATGCTTTCATGAATCTCTTGGTAATATCACAAATGTGATAAAACTGATCATAAATGTAAAGAGAAAAATGGCAAGTTGATATTCTGGAATGCAAAGAATTGTAACAGGATGCAGACCCTTCCTTCAGAACGATATATGCTTATGCCAAATGTGAAGTAAATAATTGGGAAAGTACTACACTATTTACTTGTGTTCTTATTTAAAGGGTGAATTTGTTTCCATGGGTGTTATTTCTGATGGAAATTCATATGGTGTCCCTGAAGATCTGATCTATTCATTTCCTGTTGTAATAAAGGTATGTAAAAAATATGCAGTTTCTGAAATACTTGTTAAGTAAATGTAATACTGTGCAAAGTTCAAGAAGCACAAGTGCAATGTGGACATCACTACTGTGAGCATTAAAGAATCTATAAAACAGCAACAGCAGTTTAAATACTATCCCTAAAGCACATAGTGCAGGATTTAACTAATGAGTCCTGCAAGTGGAGCCACTGTGAAGGGTTTCTGTTTGGGCAATGGGGCTTCCCTTCTCTCCTCATCATTCCCCCTCAGAACTGCCTTTGGGGAGCGGGTCAGGGGAACCCTCAGAACAGCACGCAAGGGGCATTTTAGAAAAGCTAAAATGCTTGGCCTGACAGAACAATCACCTTTGTGTAACTATGAACTCCCTCCCACACCTCTTTTGTTGTTGAAATATTTTTTATTGAGTTTTACAAATATTTTTTAGGCAAAACATACATCTTACATATAATATATAGAAACCACTTGGCCATCTCAGCCTGAGACTTCCCTCCTCCTTGACTAATGGATTTCCTATTTATACTCTAATATTGCATTTTATTATTGTTGTTATTACCCTTAAATCCTAATCTTAAATAAACTATTTAAGAATCATACTACAGTTGTACCTCCAGTTGTGGAAGGGATCCGTTCCTTGGGCGCATGCCAAAGTTTACATAAACAGAGGTTCAACTGTAGTAATAAATGATACATCTAACCTTATAAAACTTCTTGTAACTCTACTAACAATGTCAGTTGTTTACAGTTGTCTTTCAAATACAGCATAAATTTATTCCAGTCTTTCAGAGGTCTGGTCTTGCTGGTTCCAAAATTTCCCTGTCCATTTCACCAAATCTGCATAGTCCAATAGTTTCATCTGCCCCTCTTCTTTCATCAGAATCTCTTCCCGTTTCCATTTTTGGGCCAATAATATTCTTGCTGCAGTTGTTGCATATAAAAAGAGTGCTTTATCTTGCTTATGTATGTCTCTGCCTACAATACCCAGTAAAAAGGCTCCTGGTTTTTTTACAAATGTATATTTCAACATTTTTTAAAGTTCATTATACAGGTATATCATTTCCCAGAAAGCCTTCACTTTCTTAAAAACCCACCACATATGATAGCAGGTACCATCTTTTTCTTTACATTTCCAACATTGATTACCTGATCAGTACATTTTTGCTAACTTCACCGGTGTTATATACCATCTGTACATCATTTTCATTACATTTTCTTTAAGCGAACTGCGAGCTGTAAAATTTATTCCGTCTTTCCAAAGTTTTTCCCAATCTTCTAATTGTATATTATAACCAATATCTTTTGCCCAATGTACCATAACAGATTTAACTTCTTCATCTTTCACATGCCATTCTAAAAGTAATTTATACATTTTTGACAATATTTTAATTTTAGAGTTTAACAAATCTAATTCAAACCTGGATTTTATATTACTCAAATCCATTATTTTTTTAATCTTCTTTAAATATTTCATTTATTTGACAATAATTCAACCAATCTTTTACTAAACTTTTAATTTCCTCATAAGATTTTAATTTCCACTGATTTTCTATTTCCATCACCAAATCTTCATAGGTGGCCCAATTTCTTTCCATATTTAGCTTTTTTATACTTATAGCCTCTATAAATATTAACACTGCTTGCTTATCGTTCGTGGTCGTCAAATATTCAATTATATCAACTATGTTTCTTCTGTTGTTTTTCATCTGACTACCAGGAAGAAAGCCAGCTTGGTCTTCATGTATTATATCTTTTAATACTCTTTTCAATCTGTTTGCTAAAATACTTGAAAATAGTTTATAGTCACTATTTAAACGAGATTTCCTTATAATTTTTAATTTGTAACAAATCTGCATCCTGTTTTGGAATCGAAGTAATAAATACTTCTTTCTATGTTGCTGGGATATCTCCTTTTTCAAAAATATTGTTCATCACATCTTTCAAAGGTATCATCAAGGTTTGCCCCCCACCTCAATAATGTATTGAATACAGTATCTTAGTAACTGTAGACATAGGGTGGTCATTCATACCATATGCAACACTTACATTGTTTTCATAACAGATTAATGTAGCTTTCTCCAAAAAAATACTTGGAGTTCTAATTTGGCAAAGTGTGAAGAACACATTCTTAAAGTTCCTCCGCTAGTTGGGAATGAACAGCTTGTTTATTACAAGTCTGTGGTTCTATGATTCCCTGTATCTAATGTCTAGTTTGTTTTAAGCTGCTGTGCGGAGGCTAGTGAATACCTAATCCAACCTTCTCCAAGCTGGTGCCCTCCTGCTGTTTTGGAGGACACCTCCCATTATCCCCAGTCAGCAGGAAAGGCTGACCTAATCAATAGCCCTGTCACACCTTTACCCTGTAACACTGTGGAGTTGAAATTTGTTATGGTTTAAAGGCTTTAGAAGTCACCAATTCATTTTTCACAGGATAAAACATGGAAGTTGGTCGAAGGCCTTCCTGTTAATGACTTCTCCCGTGAGAAGATGGATTTGACTGCCAAAGAGCTCACTGACGAAAAGGAGACTGCTGTGGAGTTTCTGTCCAGTGCATGACTAGGTGCTGCTCAGGATGCTTCGGGAGATGGCTTAAACACAGAGGAGTCTAAAAGTCGTCTCTAAATTCAGCATCAAATGCGATTACTGTATCCGTCAGTTGTCTTCCCCGCCCCGCTGCAGCAGTCAGTACCTTCTTTGTTGGTGCATCTGTGCCTGTTATTGAGTGCTCTTAGTAATGAAGTTATCACACAACATGTTTCGAAAGTAGTTTGCACACTTGACCAAATCTTCTTGATTTATTACTGTTTGCTTCTTGTATTGCATTGTGCATTAGAAGGATAGTAGCCTTTCAGCTTTAATTACACCAAAACCAGCTATATAGTGCTAAAAGCTGATTTTATGAAATGGGCTTTAGCACTTTATTCATCAAGTACAATTAGAGCCACCATTGGTCTTTATCAAAGTGCACAAGAGCCTATATTTCTACCATTAAAATCTCTTAAGTAGGAAATGCATTTTGCATACAATGAATGTACCATATGTTGACCATCATTGATGCACAAATTTTACTGGAAATTACATTAAATGTTGCTGAGTAAGCAGCTTTTGTGGTTTTTTGTTTACCTTGTGTCAGGGAACTGCCCTCAGTGCCGGAGGGAGAGAGCAAGCTCCAGAGGGATCCCAGAGAGCGTCCCGGGATTGGGAGAGGCAGCCCATCTTCTGGGGAAGGGAATCAGCTCAGCTCCAGTGGAGAAGGGGGGCAGATGGGGGAATCTGAGAGGGAGTCACATGACTCCTTGCCGGGGACCAGCGGGGGGAGGAAGGGTCCTCCGCTGCCTACGCCCTCCTTGCGCAGAAGGCTTCTGCGCAGGGAGAGTAGGAGGAGACTGGGCGTCATAGAACTTTTGTTGGAAGAAGTTTAAGAAACGCCCACTGACAGATTCTGCCAGCGATTGAGACAGCCACGGGTGAGTGGCTGTCCGGACAGAAAAGGTTCACTTAGGCAACCCAGCCAGGTGTGGGCACCGGCTTATGCACGAGCAACCCCTAGAACCATTACACCTTGCTTTCATGAAAGTATGTAAAACACAACCTTCACCATAAAGCAGATTGTGTGCATTTTTTAAAATAAAGCAAATCTGGAACTAGAGTGGTTTGAAGGTGCAACCGTGCACAGAATATACAATACCTCTACGGCAAGCTCAAACAGATTATAATAGCATTTCTCTGTACTCTGCACACAGAAAATCAACTACTTGCTGCTTCTTCCTCTTGCTTCAAATATAGCCAAAGAAACCTCTTTTATTATTTTTAACCTCCCTTGCAAGCCTGACCTTATTTGGAGCTTTGGCCTGCCTGACCCTCTCCCTGCAACTGTTGGCTACTCTTTCTTCATATCTTATACATGCCTTCTTAAATCTCAGCTCATCTGCAAGCTCCTAATGCTGCCACACTGGTTTCTTTCGATGCCCTACCACTTTTCTTATTGGAATTGTCTACCTTCAGTAGTTCACTTGGACTCCCTTCTCTTTGAGTATTTCTGGCCATAATACTACACCCAGTAGTTCTTACAGCTTTTGGAATCAGCTTTTTTAAAGTCTAAAGTGCATTTCTGACTACACTGAGCTTCCCCTTGCCTGTGTATAATGAAACACAAGAGGACACGATCACTTCTTCCCAAAGTTCCCAGTACCTCCACTTTGTCAGATACAGTAGTTTCTCCCTGTTGGTGAGAACCAGGTCCAAGATAGATGATCCCCTTAATGCTTCTTCCACCTGCTGTGAAATGAAATTGTCAGTGAGGCAGTTGAGGAATATGTTGGACCTTACACTCTTGGGAAGGAGAGAAATGGAGCAAGTCAGAATGATGGAAGAGACACACCAGTACAAGTTACTTTTTCTCCTGTCTGAGTGGCAGCATTTTGCAGCTCTGCCCTGGATAGAATGTAAAACAGAGGAGGGTGGTTCTTCCTAATAACCCTTTCAATTCTCTAAACAGGCTACCTGTATGAACACAGCTTAAGTAAAATATTAGGGACATAAGGCTCTTCTGTAATGTCACCCAGTGTAGTGGCAATATTTATTCAGTTACAAAAAGTTGAGTCAGAAAATTAGTGATTGCTTAATTGAACTATTTCCTTGTTTAAGTGGAATCAGTTCCCTGCAATGGGTCTTGGGAAATGAAAATTTCCAGTTGAGCCTGTAGATGGAGCTATAAGAGTAGATACTCATGAAAAGCCAGAGAGAGTTGGAAATCTGAAGTAGAAAAAATATATACTTTCCTGTAGAGTCTGTCTGTTCCAGGAACCCAACAGACAGGATAAGAAATTATAATGTTGCAAATGCATCTCTATAGCAGCTATTTTTAAAATCTTCAAGAGACTTCCATGAGGATCCCCTTTATATTGCTGATGATACTACGACATGTTCTAGGGCACCAGTTCAGTTTGTTACCATTCTCCCAATCAGTTAATAAGAAAGAAACTGCATTTGAGAATTATTGGTGGGGTGCCATGTTTTTGTCACGCATCCCTTGCTGGTTATGGTGGGTGAGTGATATTTGTCAGTGCACTTTATTTCATTCTACGAATAGTATTGCCAGTGTTTTGCACTCTGGCAGTCTTCATAGATGCCAGTGCTAGTCACGTCAGTGATTCAAAGTGCTTAACTGAAGAGAATGTGCAACAGGATCAGGATATTAATGCACCCAACCAGGAGCCCCCCCCCCCCCGTTTTCAATTACAGTGGTGCCTCGCAAGACGAAATTAATTCGTTCCGCAAGTTTTTTCTTCTTGCGAGTTTTTCGTCTTGCGATGCACGGTTTCCCATAGGAATGCATTGAAAATCAATTAATGCGTTCCTATGGAAACCGCCTTCAGACCAGGTCCGGGGACAGTCTGTCCCCCGACCTCTTCTGAAGGCTGGGGGGGGGACAAGGGCTTTTCTTCCCACCCCCAGCATTTTAAAAAAACCCGGGACAGCGGAGGGCTTCTCCGCTGTCCGGGGCGATCTTAAAATGCTGGCGGGCGGCATTTTAAAATCGCCCCGGGACAGCGCAGGACTTCTCCGCTGTCCGGGGCGATTTAAAAGCCCCTGGGAAGGCAGGCAGGGGGGACAAAGACATTTGCCCCCCGCCCTCCTTCAGAAGAGGTCCAGGACCTCTTCTGAAGGCTGGCGGGGGCGAAAGTCTTTGCTCCTCTCCGCCTGCCTTCAAAAGCTGTCCGGCCAAGGCTTCGCGGACCTCTCCGCAAGCAGCGGCAGCACTGCCGCTGCTTGCGGAGAGTTGCCGGCATGCCGAAGCCTGCGCGCACTGAGATCAGCGCGCCCAGGCTTCGCGGACCTCTCCTGCCTTCAAAAGCCGTCCGGGATAGCGGGAAGCGCTTCCCTGCTATCCCGGACTGCTTTTAAAATGCTGGCGGTGGGGAGCAAAGCCTTTCGGCCCCCGCCAGCCTTCCTGGACCTCTTCTGAAGGCCGGAGGGGGGAAAAGGCTTTGCTCCCCACCGCTAGCATTTAAAAGAGGTCCCCGGAGATTTCCCTATGGGCTTTCGTCTTGCGAAGCAAGCCCATAGGGAAATTCGTTTTGCGACGCTCCTCCAAAACGGAAAACCCTTTCGTCTAGCGGGTTTTCCGTCTTGCGAGGCGTTCGTCTTGCGGGGTACCACTGTAGATAGAACCACATAGAAGCCTAATTTGTATGAACTGTGGATAAGCATGCAAACCTGTATCTAGATATATCTGTCAGCAGGATCTTGTCATTTTTATTTAATTAATGAGAATATTTCTAAAGCACTCGCTCATAAAAAACATCAAGGCAATGTACAATAAGATATTAAAATTATAAATTTATTATTTTTTAACACAGAACAATTGACCAACACGGAATTAAGTTATTTATATATTTAAAACACAACTCATTATTTAATGAGATATAGTGTTTACTCAAAATCTCTTAAGTACTTTACATAAAACAATATAAAATATTCGTAAGTGATATTATTTTGAAAAGTAGATCAAAAATATACCAATATATAGATAATATTAATAGAATCATAGAATCATAGAGTTGGAAGAGACCAAGGGCCATCGAGTCCAACCCCCTGCCAAGGTAGCTGTGCCCAAACAAAAGTTTTTATTACATAGGTGCCATAAACAATACAATGAAAGTGTATTCCTAGTATTCATAGGGAGGTGTTTCAGAGAGTAGATTCTGCCACACTTAACAGAATGACGCTTTGCAATGTGGAATGCACTTCACGTGGCACTTGTAAAAGTGCCAGTTCTGCCGTCTGAAATTATCAAATGGGTGCCTTACGGGTAAGGCTCTTACATAAATAAGGGCTTTATTTGCCTAGAGTAACACCTTGAACTTGGCCCAGTAGCAAATTGGCAGCCAGTGAGATTTTCGAACACAGGTGTATTGTGTAAATAGGACTCTTTCTTCTGTCAAAAATCAGCTTGGAGCCTTCTCTATTAACTGGCAGTTTCCAGATCAGCCACGAAAGAAGCCCCATATAGAATGCACTGACGTAATCCGGTCTTAAAGTTTATGATGTCTGGACTGTTGTAGCCAAACTATCCTTGTCCAGGAACGGCTGCAGATGTCATACCAGCCAAAGCTGATAAAAGCAGCATCTAGCCACCAAGGCCAGCTGAGCCTTCAATGACAGTACTGGATTCAGAAGCCCATCCCAGACTGCGCATCTGCTCTTTCAGAAGAAATGCAAATCTGCCCACAGCAGGCAGTTGTACAATTTCTGGACATAAGAATCACCTACAGTGCCTCAGTTGTGGGGGATTAATAAACAAACTAACATAGAACTGAGTGTCATAATAATAATTTATTCATTATACCCTGCCCACCTGGCTGGTTTTCCCCAGCTACTCTGGGCAGCTTCCAACAAAATATTAAAAATATTGCCCAGCCCTTCCCAGCTCGCTTTTATGAGCCAGGATGGGCAAGGAGACAGGTGGTCGGTTTCATTTGTCCAAGCAGCCTGTCCATATCCTCGGAGGCAACAGATTGGAATTGATCCCATGTAACAAGACTAGACAGAACTCTAGCGCTCCCCCACCCTGGCCCTGCTCCCGCGGTGGAGTCTACCTCCTACTGAATCTGAGCGACTTTATCTGCAAAAAACTTTGCAAAAGCATTGCAGGAGATCTTGGGGTCCCTACCAGGCCCCAATGGCAAAGGTGGTTCCGTTAGATTGCGAACCACCTGAAAGAGTTTCCTGCTGCTATTTTCTGCATATGCAATAGAGGCGGTAAAGAAAGTCCTCTCCGCCGTCGTCATCGCCACTTGGTAAGCTCAACGTTGAACTCTAACCTGTGTCCGGTCCAATTCAGAATGAGTTTTCCGTCACCAGCGCTCTAGCTGTCTCAGCAATTGTTCCATCGCCCTCAACTCTTGGGGAACCACGGGGCTGTCCAGGCTCCATGCAATTGGAGAGGGCGCTTCGGAGCTAGACAGTCAATAGCCCTGGATAACTCTGCATTCCAGCTGGAATCAGCTGAAAGGTCATCAACATGGGATAAAACATCCCCTACCACTCTCTGGAAACCATTTAGATGCATTAAGTGGTGGGGGGCAAACGATCCGAAT